TATAACGCATTTTACCAAGGACAAACCGAAAAATGACTTACCTGGTAATTGCTGAAACATCGCGAGAGTGTTTACAGTGTCATCGAGGCGCTCACACCTTGACTTGACGTCTCTTCGTCTCTTCCTGGCCACTTGCTTATCCATCTCCTCTTTTTCTTCTTCTTCTTCTTTTTCTTCTTCTTCTTCTTCTCGTTTTCATCTTCACGCCATGCCATTCGGCCCGGAATTCAACAAACCGAGTCATTCTCATTCCTCCGAATCTTAAATATACTGAAACAAAAAAAAAAGAGGAATTAATCAGCAAATATTTTTTTTTTCTCTTTCAGCTTCCACTTAATGACTTATAAACAAATTATTATTATTATTAAATTCAGGGCTCGAAACCAGTGAAAGTATTTCAAAATAAAAAAAAATACGGATTTTACGGACCAAAAAGGAAAAATTACGGACCAATTACTCCATTAAATATTATTTGATTCAATTAAATATTTAATTGACTTCATTAAATATTATTTGATTCAATTAAATATTTAATTGATAATAAGCCAATTAAACGGTTATTTGAATCAAATAAATTTTTTTTCGGTGTACTGACAAAAATAAAGTCTGAGTCAAATAAGAGAACATTTTACACTTAAAAACAATAAACTAATTTTTTATAATAATTAAAAATTGTTCAAAGATGAAATCATTATTTTTATATTATAAAAATTTTGTTACTGTAATTTCTTCAAAATTATTCTCATCATTTCAATTCAATTGATATTTTCTAGAATTTCCATAACTAAAATTCTTCTCTAAATCAAATTATTTCTAATAATTTCCAAAAAAAGTTCTTTGACAATTTTCAAATCCATTTGTTTATAATATTCAATTTTACATGAAATTTCAATTATTCAAAAATTCTTCAATTAAAATAAATATTAGAAAATAAAAACAATGATACAAAAAAAAAAAATTTAATTAAACTTCTCGAAAAAATAAATTAATTTCAAAATTTAATTACTTCTCAAAAATTCACGCTATCAGACTTTGCACTCGATAATTAATTTTAAAAAAAGTAGCTTTCAAATTAAAAAAAAAGGAGTGAAAAAGTAGATATCGAAAAAATAAACTTGACGACCAAAAAAAACTTGTTTTAGACACTTTACAAAACTGACAAAAAATTCAATTCTATTTTTTATTTTCCCGACTTTTTTCCTAATTTTCATCAAAAATATTTACGTTTTTCTTATCCTACTACCTACTTTAAATTGAATTCCTGCACCGAATTTTATTATTCATCGAACAATTTCAATATTTAGAAAAATTATTTAATTCTTGCGAAGAATTTTAAGAAAATTTTAAAATAATTCATTTCTTTCGAACTAATTTTATGTAAATTCTAATTTCAATAATTGAATTACTAATAAAAATTTTTGTCATTCCTGAAAAGAATTGAATTCTTACGAAGATTTTTACAACAAATTTTTCAAATAATTGAATTTTGTTTAAAAATATTATGAAAATAGTAAATATTGAAAATCATTGAATAGCGAAAAGTTTTTTGAAAATAATTAAATTTTACAAAGAATTCTATTCAAATTTTTGACAATAATTCAATGTCTGTGCAGCATTTTAATAAATTTTTTTTTAAATAATTGAATTCCTACAATGAATTTTATTATTTATGAAAATAATTGAATTCTTGCGAACGATTTTATTAGAATTTGTTAAAATAATTGAATTTCCAAGAAGAAATTTCTTACTATTAAAAATAATTGAATTGTTGTGATAAATATTGTTATTTATGAAAATAATTGAATTTTGCAAAGAATTTTATTAAAATACCTGAAAATAATTGAATTTTCGGGAATAATTTTGTTATTTTTCGAAATAATTGAATTCTTTCGAAGAATTATTTATGTAAATAATTAAATTCTTTCGTATTTTATTAAAATCTTAAAAAATAATTGAGTTATTTCAAAATAATTTAATTAAAACTTTATTCAAAATAATTGACTTCTTTCGAACAATTTTATTAAAATATTTGAAAATAATTGAATTTCTGTGAAAAATTCTAATATTTTTCTAAATAATTGAAATTATCTAAAGTATTTTATTACTTATGAAAATAATTGAATTATTGCGGAGAAATTTACAAAAAATTTATATAAATAATTGAATTCCTGTGAAATTTTTATTTACGAAAATAATTAAATGTTTGCATAGAATTTTATTAAACATTTTTTTTTTAAATAATTGAATTCTTTATGAAAAGTTTATTAAAATAATATTGAAACTTTATTAAATTGAGGAATTTTTTTGAAAATAATTAAAATTTTGCCAAGAATTTTATTAAAATTTTTTTAAATAATTGGATTTTTGAGAATAATTTTATTATTTATTTATATTATTTATTTACATTTTATTATTTATTTTTGATAAATGAAATTTTGTCAAGAATTTTTAAAAATTGAAAATAATTGAATTTCTGCAATCTTTTGTAATTTTTGAAATTATTTAAATTTTTATGAAGAATTTTATTAAAATTTCTTTGAAAATAATTATTGAATTATTTTTGAAAAATTTCATTAAAATTTTAGAGAATAAATTTATTTTGTCATCAAATTTAATTATAAAAATGTATTCAAAATATCTATTAAATTCTAATAAAGAAATTATATCATTTTTTATTATTTATGAAAATAATAATTAAATTTTTCCGAACGATTTTATTAGAACTTTTGAAAATAATTGAATTTCCAAGAAGAAATTTATTACTTTAGAAAATAATTGAATTCTTGTGATGCATATTGTTATTTATGAAAATAATTGAATTTTGCAAAGAATTTTATGAAAATGCCTCCAAATAATTGAATTTTCTGGAATAATTTTGTTATTTATCTTTAATAATTGAATTCTTTCGAAGAATTATTTATACGTAAATAATTAAATTCTTTCGTAGAATTTTATTAAAATCTTAAAAAATAATTGAATTCTTCCAAAAAATTAAAAAAAATTTTTTTTTAAATAATTGATTTTTTTGAGGAATTGAAATTGAATTTTTAAGAATATTTACAATTTCCGAGCAATTCCTGTAAAATTGTATTAAAAAGAATTGAAATCCTGCAATGAATTTTATTTTTTATGAAAATAATTGAATAGGTTGTTGATAAGAATAATTTTATTAAAATTTTCAAAAAATAATTGAATTCTTGAGAAGAATTTTATTATTTATATTTGATAAATGAAATTTTGAAGAGAATTTTTAAAAATGGAAAATACATAATTCAATTTCTGCAATGTTTTGTAATTTTTGAAATTAATTAAATTTCTACGAAGAATTTTATTAAAATTTCTTTGAAAATAATTGAATTTTGCAAAGAATTTTATATTGAAATGCCTCAAAATAATTCAATTTTCCGGGAATAATTTTGTTAAATTTATCTTTAATAATTGAATTCTTTTAAAGAATTATTTATGTAAATAATTGAATTCTTGGGAAATATTTTATAATTAAAATTGTATTAAAAATAATTGACTTCTTTAGAACAATTTTATTCAAATATTTGAAAATAATTGAATTTCTTCGCAGATTTTTATTCATTTTTTTGAAAATAATTGAATTTCTTCGAAGAATTTTAATACTTTTGAAAATAATTGAATTCTCGTGATAAATATTGTTATTTATGAATGTAATTAAAGTTTGCGAAGAATTTTATTAAAATAAAAATAATTGAATTTTTCTAAATAATTTGATTATTTATCTTTAAGGGCATTTGAAACTTGATGACGTCACACATGCTTTGCACAAACTGAAACGTCATCAAGGTTCAAATGCCCTTAATAATTGAATTTTTTCGAAGAATTAATTATTTATGTAAATAAATAAATTCTTGTGGAAAATTTTATTAAAATGTAAAAGAATAATTGAATTATTACAAAGAAATTTAATTAAAATTGCACTTGGAATAATTGATTTCTTTCGAAAAATTTTATTAAAATATTTTAAAATAATTGAATTTCCATGAACTAATTTATTGCTTTAAAAAATAATTGAATTCTTGCGATGAATTTCATTATTTTTGAAGATAATTGAATTCTTTCTAAGAATTTTATAAACAATGTTTTAAATAATCAATTTTTGCTAAATATAATAAATATTAGGAAAATTTTATTTCAAATAATTGAATTCTTGAGGAAAACTTTATTTGTGAAAATAATTGAATTTTTCGATTAATTAATTTAAAATAGTTTAAAAAATAATTGAAATTTCGTGACAAGTTTTATTATTTATGAAATTAATTTAATTATTGCGGAGAAGATTTATTATAACACTTGTAAATAATTTAATTCCTGTGAAATTTTCATTATTTATGAAAATAATTAAATGTTGGAGTAGAATTTCATTAAAATTTTGAAAGAAAAAATAATTGAATTCTTTCGAAAAATTTAATTGAAATTGTTTTAAAATTTAAAAATAATTGAATTTTTCCAAAAGAATTTTATTCTTTATGAAAATATTTAAATTCTTTAGAAACAATTTTGGAAAATAATTAATTTTTTTTGGAGAAATTTTATTAAAATTGAATTGCAAATAATTGAAATCAATGGTGAAATATTATAAATAATTGAATTTTTTCGAGAAATATTAAAATTGTATTAAAAATAATTGAAAGTCTGCGATGAGGTTTTTTTTTTATGAAAAATAATTGAATTATTGCGAAGAAATTTATAAAAAAAAAAATTATAAATAACTGAATTCCTGTGACTTTGTATTTTATTTATGAAATTAATTAAATGTTTGAGTAGAATTTAATTAATTTTTTTTTTAAATAATTGAATTCTTGTGGAAAATTTTATTAAAATTGTAGATATTGAAAATTATTGAATTGAGAAAAGTTTTTGAAAATAATTGAAATTTGTCCAAGAATTTAATTAATTTTGAAATTTGGAAGTAAAATTATTTATTAAATAAAGTAATAATTTTCTGACAGCACAAGAATTAAACAAATCAATTTCGAAATTAGTTTTTATTAACTCTAAAAATACACAATTTCTTGAAGAGAGAAAAAATAATTCTTACGTTAAGGTATATACACAACTTTGCAATAATCGTTCTTTTCTTCGAAAATACTTCGAAATCGGTAATAATTGTCAAATTCTAATTATTATATTATAATTATCAATAAAAAAAATTTTATAATTATCAATAAAAAAAAATTTTATAATTATCAATAAAAAAAAATTTTTTAATTATCACTCAAACTTTTAATTATTATAATTTTGTATTATCGCACAAGACGTTAATTTTCTTCGAGAAGCATTTCCTCGTCTTGAATTTTCTGTTTCGATTTTCCCTTTTGTTTCTTTTGCTTGGCAATTGGCGATTTATTGAAGGAAATATTTTTCTGCGCTTTTGTAATGTCAATTTCCTCGACGAGTTGTTCATCAACGATACTATTGTCATTGTCATTATCATTATCATTTTCCTCATCGTCAGTCTCCATCGATTCCTCCAATTTTTTACGCTCCTTGAGACCGGCCGCTGGCGAACGAATCAACGAAATATTTCTTTGCACTTGCTTAATATTCTTCTCCCTCTCAACTTCACGTCCAACGCGCAATCTTTGCATAATGTGTGTATTTTGTCTCCTCTGTCGAATCACTTCAACTTTCTTCATTGCCTCAATTGTCTTGGACCAAATTTCACGATTATATTTCAATGGAATATTTCGCCTCTTTTCAAATTCAAATGTCGGATCAATTGCCAATTCTTTGCCGGCTGTTTTTCTGTAGGCCTTTGTCCATTTCACCTTTCTTGGATTCTTCTTCTTCTTGAAGGCCGCGTGACATTTCGATCGGCAAAATTTGAAAATCTACAAAAAAACGGAAAAATTCGTTACTTTTTTCTTTCTTTTTTATTCGTTTTCGAATTTTTTGCATTTTTATTTGAATTTCATTTTAATTTCAATTTCAATTTCAATATCATTTTAATTTCAATTTCAATTTTATTCTAGAACTTTATTTTTATCTATTATTTTATTTTATAATTAAAAATTATATTTTTCTCAACTTGCATTTTAGAGAGAAAAAATATTTCTTTAATTTTCGAAAAAAAATTATAATAAATCATTTTTATTTTTGAAATAATATAAATTATGTTCTATTTCTTGTTAATTAAATAAATTTTGCTTTACTAATTTAATTAAAATAATAATTTTGTAAATAATTACATTTTTTTTTTTTTTTTTTTTGAAGAATTTAATTAAATATCGTAGAACAAATGTAATTTTTCAAAGTAATTTTAATTGAAAATTTTGAAAATACATAATTGAAATTTACAAAGAATTTTATTTAAAACTTTTGAGAACAATTGAATTGTTTAGAAAAATTTTATTACAATTTTTTAAAAATAATTGAACCCGTCAGAGAAATTTTATTAAAATTATCTTGAATATAATTGAATTATTTCCTTCGAATTTAATTAAACTTGTATTAAAAATAATTGAATTTCTCAGAAGAATTTTATTATTTCCAAAAAATATTGAATACTTACCAAGAATTTTACAATTTATAAATATAATTGAATTTTTTTTATCAGAATTGTTGAAAATAATTGAATTTTTATTAAAATTCTTTTAAATAATTGAATTTAGAGAATATTTTAAAAAATAATTATATTAATTCTTGTGAAGAATTTTCTTAAATTTATGAAAATAATTGAATATTGCGGAGGATTTTACAAATTCACAAAAAATAATTGAATTATTTCTTGAATTCTTCAAAAAGAATTAAATTATTTTTTATAAATAATAAAATCTTTCGCTAGAAGTCAATTCTTTTTTTAAATACAATTTTATCAAAATTTAAAAAAAAATTCAATTATTTTTAAAAATTTTCATAAAATTCTTGAAAAACATTTATTTATTTCTCAAAATTTCGAATAAAATTTGTTGAAACAATTCAATTATTTTTCAAAAAAAACTTCAAAAATAAAGCTCTTCAATTACAAAAGAAAATTTTAGAATAAATTATTCTTCAATTATTTAATTTGTAAAAAATAAAATTCTTCGCTTGAATCCAATTAGATATTTTTAAATCTTTCATTAAAATTCGTCGAAATAATTCAATTATTACTTTTCAAAAATTCTAATAAAATTCTTCAGAAAAATTCAAATAATTTCGAAAATAATAAAATTCTTCGAATCAATTCTCAATTGACTGTCAATAAAAATTTAATCAAATTCTTCAAAAACAATTCAATTATTTTTTCATTTTTATAAATTTTAATAAAATTTTTCACAATTACAAAAAAAAAATTCAATTACCATTAAAAATTGTTCAAAAAACTTTTTTTCAATTATTTTAATAAAAAATAAAAGTCTTTGCTTCAATTCAATTATTTTCGAAACTTTTACAAAAATTTGTTGAAAACAATTTAATTATTTTTCAAAAACTTTAATAAAATTTTTCAATTACAAAAAAAGTCCAGAAAAAATTCAATTATATTAAAAATTGTTCAAAAAAACAATTTTTCAATTATTTTTATAAAAAATAAAATTCTTCGCTTGAATTCAATTATTTTAATTATCCTATTCATTAATTTCTTAAAATAATCCAATTATTTTTTTCAAATATTTTAATAAAATTCTTCTCAGAAATTCAGTTATTTTCAAAAAATTTTATAAATTTAATAAATTTCATTACAAAAATAATTCTTCGCAGTAATTCAATTATTTTTAAAAAATTGTATAAAATCCTTTAAAATAATTCAATTACCTTCGAAAATTTTAATTAAATTCGTAGAAATTTTTAGAAAAATTAATAAAAAATCTACAAAAAATAAATTATTTTGAAGAATTTCAATAAATTCTTTATAATAATTTACTTATTTTCAATATAATTGCAATTGAATTTTACGAAAGACATTAAATATTTTTATAAATAATCAAATTCATATAAAGTATTATTTTATTTTTTGCTTTTTATATAAATTTTTTTATTAATTTATTTTTTTGTTATTTATATTATTAATAATATAATAAAAATAAAATAATAAAAAATTCAATTAATTAAATTCAGGATTTTCGTTTTTCTTTCTCTTGTTAATAACAAAAAAATTATTAAAAATTAGAAAAAATAGAAAATAAAAATGTAAACAACTAAATTTTTACTATCTGCGAATAAATATTTTTAAAAAATTTAATATTTATAGTAAAGAATAGACAAACATTAATAAAAACTTTAAAAAAATAATAATAAAGTCGAAAAATAATTAAATAAAAATAAACTAAGTAAAGAAATAAAATAAAAATGAAATAAAAATAAAAATAGAAGTTAAAAAATAAAAATAAATAAAAAAAAGTAAAAGTAATCAAAACTGAATTTTCCAACTACTGTGAACAATTATTTAGAATCAAATATTTTACAACGTTTAAAATAAAAAAACAAAATTTTAAAAAATAACCAAACAAGATTTTACAGTTTCGTTATAATCTCTATAATTTTTTTTATCATAAATTAATAAATTTATTCATTAATTATTATTATTTATTAAAATTAGAATTATTTTTTTTAATATTTCAATGAACAAAATTCAAAATTATTTCTTTAAATTTTATAATAAACAAAATTTCGAAAAAAAATATATGACACAAACTAACCTTAAAAAAAACTCGTCCTACTTTACTCGATATTTAATCTGTTTGATTAATTTAATGGGGAAAAATTGAAAAAGAAAATACAAAAATACTAACAATTGAAATAAATAACAAAATGAAATTAGAAAATAGAAAAGAAAACGAAAAATCAGAAAAATGAACAAGAAACATAACCTTAAAAATTGGAAAAATATTTTTTCTCTCCGCTTCTTAAAAACAAAATAACAATTTAATAAATACTCACTTTGCAGTCATTGCGAACAAATTGAATTCCATGTCCGGGATAAACTCTCGACGAACAAAAATAACACGTTTCAATTCTCATTTTTCTGCTTTAGTATCGTGAAAAACGTGTTAAAATTATATTTTTTTTTTAGAGAAAACGGAGAAAACACACGACGACTGACGACAGTGTCTGGACAGTGTCGACCACGAGGAGACAAAATTATCTCCACACGAAACGACCACTCGGCGCCATCTGTCGCCGAAAACCGTTACTCACTTCACACTTTATCCACTTTTCAAATTTCGCGCGAAATTCAAATCGAATTCAAATAAAAGAAAATAAATTTCAAAAAGAATGCGAAAAGAAAAAGCGCAAAATAAACAAAACGCCAGGAAAAAACAACAAAAAAATACCACCAAGTGAAAAAATTTATAAACCTAAACAAAAAAATGCAAAATTAATTAAAAATAAATTCAAAATTTTCCAGTCAATTCAAAGGAGACAAGAAAATAATATTTCTAATCGAAAAAATGTTAAATTTTATTGCAATATTTTTTTAAAACAGAAAAATGTTAAATTCATAAAAAAAAATGATGTAATAAAAAAAATAGCGAGAAATAAAAAAAAAAGACGTAAGTGTTATAATTTAATTGCGAAGAAGATATAAAAAGGGAAAGCAAAAAAAAAATATAAAGAGGGTTCTATCATTGAATTGTAGAACTATCGATTGCCGGAAGGTACTAATTTAATATTGAAAATACTATCGTCTCCGACTTGCAAGTTGAAAAGCATGCAAAACAATAATGTTCAGTTACGTATTATTTTCATTACTAATTTTATCAATTTCCTTCTATTGTCATCAAATTTTTAATCAACCAATTAGCATAATTAATTATCCAAATGAGTCCTACGATTTTATTGTCGGTGAGTTCATTCTTTATTATTGTTTTTATTTCCTCTTTTCTCACTTCATTAAAAAAAAAACTTTGAAAATTCACTCGACAATTGCATCATTTTTTTCACTGAAATTTTTTTTTATTTTATTATTATTATTATTATTATTATTATTATTGAATAAATAAATAAATAAATAAATAATTATTATTATATTTTTATTATTAATTATTCATTTATTCATTGCTATTATATTATTTTTAATTTATTGTTTATACTATTCCTTAGTCATATTTTATATACTATTTTTTCATTTTTATTACTTTCATTGTTTTTATCATTCCTATTACTATTATAATTATTACTATTATTTGTTATTATAGTTATTCAATTTTCTTATTTTTGCACCAAAAGGAAATTAATTAAAAGTTTATTGTGAATAAATAAATAAATAAATAAATAAATAACTAAATAAATAAATAAATAAATAAATAAATAAATAAATAAATAAATAAATAAATAAATAAAAAAATAAAGAAATAAATAAATAAATAAATAAATAAATTATAATAATTAATAATAATTAAATACAATTTTCTTAAAATTCTCAAAAATTCACTTATTTTTTAGAATTTTTGCAAAAATTCAATTATTTGCAGAAATAATAATTTTTTTCGCATGGATTCAATTATTTAAAAAAGTTAAAATAAAATTCTATTTAAGAATTCAATTATCTTCAGAACTAATTAAATTTTCGATGTACCGAAAATCGTTGAAGTATTTATAAAAAAAAATTTGAAAATAATTGAATTAATTTCAAGAATTTCATCAACATTTTTTTCCATAATTTAAATTCTTTCGAAAAAATATGATTTCTTGAAAATAATGCAGTTTTTTTTAAAATCATTTTTACTCTGAATACTTTGAAAGTAATTGAATTTTATCACAAGAATTCAATTATTTTCAATAATTGTAATAAAATTCTTTGCAAAAAATTATTTGTTAATTAACGATTTTTCTATTAAATTACATTAAAATTATTCGTTGAAAATTGAATTCTTTGAAACAATTTTATTAAAGTTTTTGGAAATAATTCATTATTTCAAAAAAAATTTCATTAAATTCGTTAATTTAAAAAAAAAATTTTTCATTAAATTCGTTAATTTAAAAAAAAAAATTTTCATTAAATTCGTTAATTTAAAAAAAAAAATTTTCATTAAATTCGTTAATTTAAAAAAAAAAATTTCATTAAATTCGTTAATTTAAAAAAAAAAATTTTCATTAAATTCGTTAATTTAGAAAAAAAAATTTCATTAAATTCGTTAATTTAAAAAAAAAAATTTCATTAAATTCGTTAAATTAATTTTTATTTGTTAATTAATTTATTGTCGTTTAAATTTTTCAAGTGGGTGCCGGTACAGCTGGATGTGTTTTAGCATCGCGCTTATCGGAAAATCCCAACACAACTGTTTTAGTAGTCGAAGCTGGCGGACAATTTAATTGGTTTTCAACAGTGCCTTTAGCCGCTCCAATTCTATTTAATTCTGAGGTCGATTGGTCTTATAAAACCGAACCCCAATGGTATTCATCGAAAGGATTTCACGATCACGTGAGAGAATTCTAACATTCATTCTACTATACTAAAAAAAAAAAAAAAAAAAAAAAAAAAAAAAAAAAAAAAAAAAAAAAAAATATCCGAACAAATTTTATTACAATTTTTAAATAATTTATTTCTTTCGACTAATTTTTTGCAAATTTTAATTTAAATAATTTAATTCCTAAGAAATTTTTATTATTCATGAAAAGAATTCAATTCTTACGAAGATTTTTAAAACAAATTTTTAAATAATTGAATTTTGTTTAAAAATATTATGAAAATAGTAAATATTGAAAATCATTGAATTACAAAAAGTTTATAAAAATAATTGAATTTTACAAAGAATTCTATTAAAATTTTTGACAATAATTCAATGTCTGTGTAGCAATTTAATAAATTTTTTTTTTTAATAATTGAATTTCTAAAAAGCATTTTATTATTTATGAAAATAATTGAATTGCTGCGAACGATTTTATTAAAATTTTTGAAAATAATTGAATTTCCAAGAAGAAATTTCTTACTATTAAAAATAATTGAATTCTTGTGATGAATATTGTTATTTATGAAAATAATTGAATTTTGCAAAGAATTTTATTAAAATCCGTGAAAATAATTGAATTTTCGGGAATAATTTTGTTATTTATCTTTAATAATTGAATTCTTTCGAAAAATTATTTAATTGTAAATAATTGAATTCCTGGCAAGAATTTTATTAAAATCTAAAAGAATAATTGAATTATTACAAAAAAATTTAATTAAAATTGTATATTTAAAATAATTGATTTCTTTCGAACAATTTTATTCAAATATTTGGAAATAATTGAATTCCTGTGAAAAATTCTAATATTTTTCTAAATAATAAATTGAATTTATCGAAAGTATTTTATTACTTATGAAAATAATTGAATTATTGCGAAGAAATTTACAAAAAAATTTGTAAATTATAAATTATTGAATTCCTGTGGAATTTTTATTATTTATGAAAATAATTCAATATTTGCATAGAATTTTATTAAACAATTTCTTTTTAAATAATTGAATTCTTTAGGAAAAGTTTATTAAAATAATATTGAAAATTTTGGAGAATAATTTTGTTATTTATTTTTGATTTTGTCAAGAATTTTAAAAAATTGAAAATAATTGAATTTCAGCAATCTTTTGTCATTTTTGAAATCAATTAAATTTCTACGAAGAATTTTATTAAAATTTCTTTGGAAATAATTGAATTATTTTGAAAAATTTCATTAAAATTTTGGAGAACGATTTTATTAGAATTTTTTAAAATAATTGAATTTCCAAGAAGAAATTTATTATTTTAAAAAATAATTGAATTCTTGTGGTGAATATTTGTTACTTTTGTAAATAATTGAATTTTGCAAAGAATTTGATTAAAATGACTTAAAATAATTGAAATTTTCGGGAATTATTTTGTTATTAAATTAAAAATTAAAAAAATTAAAAATATAAATAATTGAATTATTGAGATGAATTTTATTATAATTTAAAGAATAATTGAATTATTTCAAGAAAATTGTAACTAAAATTGTATTTTTAAAATAATTGATTTCTGCCGGACAATTTTATTAAAATATTAGAAAATAATTGAATTCCTATGAAAAATTCTAATATTGTTGTAAATAATTGAATTTTTTTAAAGAATTTAAAAAAAACCAATTTTTTAAATAATTGATTTTTTTGAGGAATTGAAATTCAATTTTTAAGAATAATTACATTTTTCGATCAATTCTTGTAAAATTGTATTAAAAATAATTGAAATCCTGCGATGAATTTTCTTATTTATGAAAATAATTGAATTATTGCGAAACATTTTATTAAAATATTTAAAAAGAATTGAATTTCAGTGAAAAATTTTGTTATTTTTGAAAATAATTGAATTCTTCTGAAAAACTTTATATTTGTGAAAGTAATTGAATTTTTCGATTAATTATTAATTTAAAATACATAGTATTAAAAATAATTGAAATTCTTCAAAGAGTTTTATTAATTACGAAAATAATTGAATTCTTGCTTAGAATTTTATCAAAAATTTTTTTTAAGTAATTGAATTTTTATGAAAAATCTCATTAGTGAAAGTAGATGAGTGCAAAGTCTGTAACAACTAGTACCTAAAATGAATTTTAAAAAATACAAATTAGAATAAAAAAGCAAAAAAAAAATGGCGGAAAACGAGAATAATAGAGAATTTTGTTGAAACACAAAGAGACAAAAATGGCCGCGCGGAAAAGGATTGGGCGGAAGTGGACAATTAAATTTCCTCGCCCACTCGTTTGGTAAAGCGGAGGATTTTTCAAAATGGCCGGGCGGTTGGTCGTTTTTCGATTTGCAGCCGTATTTCAAGAAAGTCACGGCCATAATGAACGTGAGAAAAATCACCTCCGACGATGAATTGGCGAGTGCTGTCATTGAAGCTGGTGAAAAATTACGGAATAATGGCGCAATTTTTTCGCCAGCAAGCGACACATTAAACGACGGAAGTCGATGGAGTAGTTTTAATGCTTATTTACAGAGTGCCTGGAATCGGGAGAATTTACATATTCTCACAAATACTCTTGTCACCAAGGTAAATCAGTAGAAAAAGAAAAATTTCCATTATTTTCCTTTCTGCTAAATTATTATTTTGCTAAATACTGAATATTTGCTAAATTATTTTACCAAAACTAAATATTTTTTCTACAATTATTTTTCCAAACTGAATATTTGCTACAATTATTTTGCTAAATTATTTTCTACTAAATTTCCCTCCAAATCTCCACTGAATTGTTCTTGAAAATATATTTCTATACAAATATCATTTTTTTTTCTTTTCTCACAAATAGATCGTATTTGGAAAGAATTTAAAAGTCGAGGGAATCGAAATAAGACACGAAAATGGAACAGTCGGTAAAGTAATTGCCAAAAATGAAGTTATTCTTTCAGGTGGAACTATTAATACACCGCAATTATTAATGTTATCGGGAATTGGACCCTCGATGGAGCTCAAAAAGCATAATGTAAATTTACACACATTTATTTTTAAATGCGAGATAGAAAAAAAAAATCTAAACTCAAAAATATCCCACGAATTCTTTTTAACCAAAAATACTAATTTTTCGCACTTAATTTTCGAGTTTTAACTGTAGAAAAAGTTCCGAACATTTTGTCAGCACAAAAACATCAAAAACACAATGCGCCGGTTCATTTTGATTTCCAAAGCAAATTTTGAAAGTGAAAAATGAATAATTAGTATAATTACCAACCATATGGGAAAAATAGGAAATATTTTCTTGTTTCTAAACAAAAACACTTGGTAGTAGAATAATCTTTACGATATTTATTTCTTGAAGAGTTCATAAGCGCGAAGTGATTATGCGAATGACGCACAGCAGACTCAAGCAGACCAAAGCAGACTAATGGAATTTTGAGGTTAGGTGCAGGTGCAGCAAGTGTTGCCAACCGCGCAATACAAAACTATCAAGTGGCGCGAAAATTCAAAATTGAATTCTGGTTTTTTTCTCTATTATCAACTATTTATCATTTTTATTCTATTTATTCTTCAAATCTATTGCTATTTAATAATAATAATAATAAAAATAGTAATAATAATAATAATAAAAATAGTAAAAATAATAATAAAAATAGTAAAAATAATAATAATAATAAAAATAGTAAAAAAAATAATAATAATAATAAAAATAGTAAAAATAATTAAAAATAATACTAATAATAATAAATAATAATATTAATAATAAAAAACAATCCTTTCTCTACGTGGAAGCAAAATAAAAATATTTTTTTAAAATTTCCCTTTTTCGCAAAAACAGCAAAAAAAAAAAAAAATGATTTCTTCTTTCAGATTACAGTCATTAAAGAAATTACAGAAGTCGGTCAAAATTTATTCGATCATTTAAATATGCCACTGTACGTTTTTCTCCAAGCTCCAATTACAATAACAATAAAAAAAATTCAAAGCATCACGACATTATTGCAATATTTTATTTTTGGAACTGGTAAATATTATTTTCTCTCAATTTAATTAAAATATAAATGAAAATTAAATCAATTGTAAAAATAAATTTTGCCCTTCGAAACGAAGCAAAAAAAAAAATTACTCGATTTGTCGGTAAGGTAGATTCCCGCCTATCCAGTTGGATGAATATAATTTTTTTTACAGTAAAAAAATTTTCTTTCAGGACTTTTAACAACAAACGGAATAAAAGCAATTGGACGTAAAAATAATAGTGGTTTTATGCTTTTTGCCGGTGCATCGACAGATGAAAAATTATTGAAATCTATTGGTAATTATCGAACAGAGGTGAGAATATTAATCTTTTATTTTTCACTCACAATTTGTGTAATTATTCATTTTTTAGTACTTTTTGGGTAAATTGCAAAAATACGGAAATATTTTTTTATAATTATTACAATTCTTATTATTTACGTTATTTACGTAACTTTTTTAGGGAGGGGGGGGCAAACTATTGACTACGACAAGTGGGGAAAAATGGCGCTAATTATTATAATTAACTATTATTATTCACTTATTTATTCTTTTAGTTTATTAATTATCATTTTTGTTTTAATATTTCAATAATTTTTTAATATTTCAATAATTTGATGACAAATTAAAATGTTTCGACACGAAATAATAACGATTACTATATTGTGATCGTTATTTATTTCGTGACGAAACAAGACAAAGTCCATTATATTATGACTTGAAAATACATAAAAAGAGGGAATGAATAAATTAATAAATACCGTAATTACCGTAGGAAAAATTACAAATTTTTTCTTGTTTATGAACAAAAAACACTTGGTAGTAGAATAATCTTTACGATATTTACTTCTTGAAGTTGAAAAAAGCGAAATAAAGACACAATTATACGCGAGTGACGCAGCAACAAGACAACTGCGGTAGTATTGTTAGGTTAGGTTACTTTCAACGCGGAGAACAAGTGTGCCAACTTTGCAGTACAAAAATATCAGAAACCGTCATAATGGCGCGAAAATTTAAAAAACATTTCAAACTAAAAGTAGTAAATAATAATAATAATAATAATAATAATAATTTTAATTTTAATTATTAATAATTAATAATTTATTTATTGTTTATACTCCTGCCCTATTGGCCTTACGCACTTCGACAAGAGTCCCCGAGAAATACTTTTTTTGGATTAAGCATAACCATTCTACTTTAGAAATTTTTCTATATATTAACCTAATTTTGCGTCTATTGTTATTATTATTATTATTATTATTATTATTATTATTGTTATTGTTATTATTATTTACTACTTTTGGTTTGAAATGATTTTTAAATTTTCGCGCCATTATGACGGTTTCTGATATTTTTGTACTGCAAGGTTGGCACACTTGTTCTCCGCGTTAAAAGTAACCTAACCTAACAATGCTAACAATTAATAATTAATAATATTAATTTGCAATATTATTAATAAAATTATTACCTACAGCAATTATTATTTTGCTATAAATAATTTAATTGCCTATATTTATTATAAACATTAAAATTAGTTTTTCAAGAGACAAAATTTTTTTATTAAAAAAAAAATTGAAATTTAGGTTTTTAGATCACTTTATCCAACTTATAATAATACGTCACAGGAGGGATTTCTTTTTTTGGCAAGTTGCTATCAACCAAAAAGTCGTGGGAATATTACTCTAAAATCTGACAATATTCTCGATCCACCGGCAATTGATCCGTCGTATTTAGAACACGATGACGATATTAAATGTTCGCAAGAAGGTAAAGAGAGAAAAGAAATAATAATAATAATAAAACTCACTAAAAATGTACAAAAAAAAACCATAAATATTTAAAAATTTTTTTTACTTTTTTTCCAAAATAGAAATAAAATAGAATGTAAAAAAAAATTATATCTATAAAAATTTAATTAATAGTCTTTTTGTAGTTTTTTTTTACTTTTCACAAAAATAATACAAATAAATAAATACAAAATTCAATAAATAAATTTTTTTGTTGTTGTAATTTTTCAAAAGATATAAATTAATTTAATATTTATTAATTTTTTGATTTTTCAACAAATGTAAACTAATTAAAATTTTTTTTTAATTTTTTACATATTTTTTAAACAAAAAAAATATGAAAAATAAATTAATATTGTTTAAATTTTTGAGTTTTACATTTAGCAAAAAAAGAAATAAAATAGGTACTTGAAGTTTTCAACGTTGCGGTATATCAACGAGAAAAAATTTTTATAAATCAAAAATTTTCTAAATTTTTAAAAATTCTTGAATACAATTTATTTATAGTGGAAATCTTCTCAAAAAAATTCATTTATTTTTATAAATAATAAAATTCTTCTCACGAATTCAATTATTTTTTTAAAAATAGTAAAATCCTTCGCAAAAATTCAATTATTTTTATAAATAATAAAATTCTTCTCAGGAATTCAACTATTTTGAGAAATTTCTGTCAAATTCTTTTCTAATATTTAAAAGAAATTTTTTCCAAACAATAAAATTATTTTCTAAATTTTTAAAAAATTTTGTAAACAATTCAATAATTTTCTAAAATTTTCAAAAATTCTAAGAAATAATTAAATTATTTTAGTAATTGACAAATACTTCAAAGGAATTCAATTAATTTTAATTATTTTGATAAAATTCTTCTCAAGAATTCAATTATTTTTATAAATAATAAAATTCTTCTCAGGAATTCAATTATTTTTTAAAAAATAGTAAAATCCTTCGCAAAAATTCAATTATTTTAAATAAATAATAAAATTCTTTGAATAAATTCAATTATTTTTAAAAATTTCTATAAAATTCTTCTCAAGAATTGAATTATTTTTACAAATTATAACTTTATTCAGAAGAATTCTTTTTTTTTTATAAAAATTAAAATTCTTTAAAGGAATTTAATTATTTTCAATTATTTTGATAAAATTCTCCTCAAGAATTCAATTATTTTCTAAAATTTTTAAAAATTCTTGGAAACAATTCAATTATTTTCTAAAATTTTTACAAATCATGGAAACAATTCAATTAATTTCTAAAATTTTTAATAATTCTTGGAAATAATTAAATTGTTTTTATAAATAGTAACATTCTTCAAAAAAAAAAAATCAATTATTTTTATAAGTAATAAAATTCTTCGAAGGAATTCAATTAATTTTAACAATTTCTGTCATTTTTTTTTTAAGAATTCAATTATTTTCTAAAATTTAAAAAAATTCTTGTGAACAATTCAATTATTTTCTAAAATTTAAAAAAATTCTTGAAAACAATACAATTTTTTTCTAAAATTTAAAAAAATTCTTGGAAACAATTCAATTATTTTTATAAATAGTAAATTTCTTCACAAAAATTCAATTATTTTTATGAGTAATAAAATTCTTCAAAGGAATTCAATTAATTTCAATTATTTTGATAAAATTCTTCTCAAGAATAAAATTATTTTTATAAATAATAAAATTCTTCTCAGAAATTCAATTATTTTCTAAAATTTTTAAAAATTCTTGGAAACAATTCAATTATTTTCTAAAACTTTAACAAATTTTTGAAAACAATTCAATTATTTTTATAAATAGTAAAATTCTTCGCAAAAATTCAATTATTTTTAAAAATTTCTATAAAATTATAACTTTATTCAGAAGAATTCTATTATTTTTATAAAAATTAAAATTCTTTAAAGGAATGCAATTATTTTCAATTATTTTGATAAAATTCTTCTCAAGAATAAAATTATTTTTATAAATAATAAAATTCTTCTCAGGAATTCAATTATTTTCTAAAATTTTTAAAAATTCTTGGAAACAATTCAATTATTTTGTAAAACTTTTACAAATCTTGGAAACAATTCAATTATTTTCTAAAATTTTTACAAATCATGGATACAATTCAATTATTTTCTAAAATTTTCAAAAAATTCTTGGAAATAATTAAATTTTTTTTATAAATAGTAAAATTCTTCAAAAAAAAAATCAATTATTTTTATAAGTAATAAAATTCTTCGAAGGAATTCAATTATTTTCAAAAATTTCTGTCAAATTCTTTTCAAGAATTCAATTATTTTCTAAAATGTTTTAAATTTCTTGGAAACAATTAAATTATTTTCTTAAATTTTTCAAAATCTTGGAAAAAATTCAATTATTTTCTATAATTTAAAAAAATTCTTGAAAACAATAATTCAATTTTTTTTAAAAATTTTTAAAAATTATTCGAAACAATTCAATTATTTTTATAAATTGTAAAATTCTTCCCAAAAATTCAATTATTTTCATAAATAACAATATTCATCCCAAGAATTCAATTTAAAAAATGGAATTTCTTTGAAAAAGGTTTTTTTTTCCGAAAGTTTAAGGTTGTCAAAAATTGTTTACAATTCGTCCCTAAATCCCCGAATCGATTCCTTGAAAATTGAATCTGGTCCTGATGCTTAATCCGAATTGTCAATTTTTTTTCCAAAAATTTTTATTCACTTTTCGAAAAAAGGGCAATTTTTCCGTTGATATGCCGAAACGTTGTAAACTTCCAGTACCTGTAAAATAATAAACTAATTAATTTTTCATTTCAATATTTTTTTCTGCAATAAATTAATTAATTTTAATTTTTATTCCCTTTCAGGTGTGAAATTAGCGTTAAAAATACTCGACAGTGAGGAATTTCGTAAATTGGGGGCAAAATTGCATATTCCAAATTTGAAGAATTGCCCACCATCCGATAATAATTATTGGGATGAGAATTTTTTCGAATGTGTAATTAGAACTGGCGGAATTGCAAGTTATCATCCAGGTGGTAGTTGTAAAATGGGAACCGGAAGTGACGCTGTTGTCGATACAAAATTACGGTACAAAAAAAAAAAAATATTTAATATTTTATTTTTTGTATTTTTTATTTAATATTTTCAAAGTTTGTTTTTTTTAATTTTTTTATTTTTTTTTTTTTTTTTTTTAGAGTGAAAGGAATCAAGGGACTGAGAATTGTGGACGGAAGTATATTTCCATCGCCAATTTCCGGACATCCAAATAGCGTAATAATTGCCGTGGCAGAGAGAGCTGCCGATTTTATAATGTCTGATAAACGGAATTGAATTTCAAAATAATATAATAATTTTATATTAAAAAATATTGTATTTTCAAAACAAAAATTCTCTTTCCTTACTTCATTCAAATATTATATCGAAATAAAGAAAATTATTTTCTTAATGTTTTTCTTTCACTTTCCTTAGTTCTTTTTTAAATTTCTATTCTTTTTCAATATTCAATTAAATTGAATTAATTTAAATTAAAATTATTCAATTAAATTGAATTAAATTAAATTAAAATTATTGAATGAAATTAAATGAAATTTATTTATTAACTAATAAAATTAATAACTAATAATATTATTAATTTTCTTCAAAATTATTTTCATTTCAATTCAATTCTTCATTTCAAGAATTTTAAACTAAAATTCTTTTTTAGAAAAAAAAAATAAAAAAATAAAAAAAAAAAAAATAAATAAAAATATAAATTTTCAAAAAAAAAAAAAAAATAAATAAAAAAAATTAAAAAAATTAAAAAAAAATAAAAAAATGAATAAATAAATATAATATAATATAATAATATAATATAATATAATATAATATAATATAATATAATATAATATAATATAATATAATATATTTGATTTTTTTTTTTCTTATTTATTTATTTATTTATTTTTTTTTTTAATAATTTTTGAAAAAGTTCTTTTTTGAGAATTTTTAAATCCATTCGTTTACATTTCAATTTTACCTAAACTTTCGATTATTCTGACATTTTTCAATTAAATAAATTAGAAATTAAAAACTTTAAATAATTTTTTTAAAAAATTCCATTAAACTTTTTGAGAAAAATTAATAAATTCTATAAATTTCCTTAAAAATCTTGTCAAGAATTTAATTATTTTTATAGATAAAAAAAAATTATTCGCATAGGAATTCGATTATTCTCAAAAAATTTGAATAAAATTCTTCGAATAAAAGTAAACTGAATTTTTTATACAAATTTTTATTTAATTTGTAATTGAATTATTTAAAAGGATTTTATACAATTTTTTTTTTTAAATAATTGAATTTCTGCGAGGAATTATTTTTGTAATGAAAAAAAACTTTATAAATTTATAATATTTTAAAATTTTTAATATTTTATAATATTTTATAAATTTATAAAATTTTTTGAAAATAACTGAATTTCTGAGAAGAATTTTATTAAAATATTTGGAAAAATAAAATTGGATTATTTTAAGAAATTCATGAAAACGATAATTAAAATAATTGAATTCAAGCGAAGAATTTTATTTTTTATAAAAAAATAATTGAAAAATAATTTTTTGAACAATTTTTAATATAATTGAATTTTTCCTGGACATTTTTTTTTTGCAATTGAAAAATTTTATTAAAGTTTTTGAAAAATAATTAAATTGTTTTAACAAATTTTTGTAAAAGTTTTAAAAATAATTGAACTGAAGCGAAGACTTATATTTTTTATTAAAATAATTGAAAAAAAGTTTTTTAAACAATTTTTTATATAAATGAATTTTTTCTGGAATTTTTTTTTGTAATTGTGAAAGATTTTATTAAAATTTATAAAAATTAAAAAATAATTGAATTGTTTTTGAAGAATTTGATTAAATGTTTATTAAAAGTCATTGAGAATTGATTCGAAGAGTTTTATTATTTTCGAAAAATATTTGAATTTTTCTGAAGAATTTTATTAGAATTTTTGAAAAGTAATAATTCAATTATTTCGACGAATTTTAATAAAAGATTTAAAAATAATTGGATTCAAATGAAGAATTTTATTTTTTATAAATTAAAAATAATTGAAAAATAATTTATTCTAAAATTTTCTTTTGATAATTGAAGAATTTTATTTATAATGTTTTTTTTGAAAAATAATTGAATTGTTTCAACAAATTTTATTCGAAATTTTGAAAAATAAATTAATTGTTTTCAAGAATTTTATGAAAATTTTTAAAAATAATTGAATTTCTTTGATGAATTTTTTAATAAAATTTTTAAGAATAATTTCATTTTTCGAGAAATTTCATATTAAAATTGTATTAAAAATAATTGAATTTTTTCGAGGAAATTTATTATTTGCATTGAAAATAATGTAATGTTTGCGTAGAATTAAAAAAAATTTTTTTTTAAATAATTGAATTATTTTGAAAAATTTTATTAAAGTTTAATTAAATAATTTCAATTTAGATAATTGAATTTAAAAAAAAAATTAATAGATTTCGATGACAAAAGGAGATTGAAAACTTTTACGCTGTGAAATTGCAACAGTTTTCGAATACATTGTAAATGTGTCAAAAAAATATTTTCAAAAAAATTGCAAGAGCAAAAAATAAATAATAACTGATTAATTAATTAATTAAATAGCAATTTTTTAATTAGAAAATGAATTATTTTCTGCAGCAGCATAAAGCGAAACACATTTGTCGAATTCCTGTTGGACTTCGAGAACTTTCCACCGATATTTCGAGAGAGGTTAACAAAAAAATTGAACTGAATAAAAAAAATAATTATTTTACAAAAAATTTAATAAAATTAAGATTTTTTCCTTCAGGTTCTTAGAGAACATCCAAAAAATATTTACGATTTTATTGCTAATTACTTAGAAACTCTTCTCATCACGAGAGAAAATGCTAAAGGTAAAAATTATTTTCTTTCAAAATTACAATTTTTTTTTTTTTGAAAAAAGAAAATATCCAAACCCTTTCTTTTCTTTGAAATTAAAAATTTTTCTCTAAAAAAGAAATTGTACCAATAAATTCTTTTCTTTCAAATTAAACATTTTTCTCTAAAAAAAAAAATTGTAGCAATAAATATTCTTTTCTTTCAAATTAAACATTTTTCTCTAAAAAAAAAATTGTAGCAATAAATTTTTTTTTTAAATTAAAAATTATTCTTTGAAAAAATATTATTTCTTTTCAAAGTATTAAATATTATTTTTAAAAAATTTCTTTTCTTTCGAACTAAAAAATTTTTCGTTAAAAACTAATTACTTCTTTTCAAAATTAAAAATATTTTTCTAAAACAAAATTGTTCTATAATAAATTCTTTTCTATCAGATATTGAAAATTTATCTTAAAAAAACATATTTTGTTTTCAAAGAGTAATAAAAAAAGTAAAATATTTTTTTTCTCTGTCAGTCGCATTGCAAGTGGTTCGCAATATAACGAATGACAGTGAATCAATAATTGCAGTTTTGAAAAAAACTGGATTATCATTTCAACAAATAGCAAAGGCAGCTCCTCAACTTCAGGCAAGTTTTCAATTTTAATTCTATTTATTTCTATTTATTTATTATTATTATTATTATTATTATTATTATTATTATTATTATTATTATTATTATTATTATTCATTTATTATTTATTTATTATTTTCTATTTATTTCTCCTTTTGATATTTAACAATAAATTTTCAAGTAAAAAATAATTTTGAAAAAAAACCTTTTCCATTTGTAAAGAAATTTCTACTTTTTTCTGTAGAAAAGTTTTCGAGATTATTTGGATGCTGTGAATAAAAATTCGAATGAAAAACTACCAGGTGAGCGATTCATTTGAATCTAGACACAAATTTTTTCGAATTATATCAATGACTGAAAAAATAAATAAACAAATATTAAAATAAATAAGCAAATAAGTAAATAAATAAGTAAGTAAATAAATAAATTATTCACATAGATAAAAAGTCGGAAAAACAAAGTCATATTTCAATAGAAAACATTCTTAAAGAAACTAGAGCAAGTTTAGAAGAAGCAAATAGAGCCGCTACCCTAATTCAAGTAAAGGAATGTTTAAATAATTTTTTTTAATTAAATAATAATTTTCAATTCGAAATAATTGAAAATAAAATTACTATGAGCAATTCAATTATTTTAAATGCAATTTTAATAAAAACTTCTCGAAAGATATATGAATCCATGAATTTATTGTAAAATCCTCCTCAAGAATTTAATTAAAATAAAAAAATTCAAGTATTTTCAGAACTCATCAAAAAAATTAAATTATTCTCATAATTAACAATTATTTTATCACTAGAATTCAATTATTTTCAAAAGAAATAAAATTCTTCGAAGAAATTCAAATATTATCATAAATAACAAACATTTCAAGGGAATTCAATTATTATCTATAATTTTATTATAAATTTCTTCGCATTAATTCAATTATTTTTAATAAAATTTCAATGAAGTTTTAACTAAAGGATTTAATTATTTTTTCGAATTTTTTTTAAATACTTGTAAATAATTCAATTATTTAAAAAAAAAAAATAGTAAAATTCTTCGCAAAAATTAAAGTATTTTCATAAATAATAAAATTTTACAAAGGAATTCAATTATTTTCATAAACAATTATTTAAATTCAATTATTTTCAAGAGTTTTAATAAAAATTCAATTATTATTTTTAACAATTCTGATAAAAAATTCTTCGAAATAATTCAATTATTGAAAAAAATGTTAATAAAATTCTTGAAATGAATTCAATTATATTTTCCAATTTTTTTAAACAATACTTTACAAGAATTCAATGATTTTCAGTACGTCGAAAATTTAATTAATTCTGCAAATAATTGAATTCTTGAATAGAATTTTATTCAAACTTTTTAAATAATTGAATTTATTAAAAATTTATTATTTCTACAAATAATTGAATTTTTGCAAAATTCTAAATAATAATTGAATTTTTGAGAAGAATTTTCTGAAAAATTGTATTTAAAATAATTGAATTCCTGGGGAAAATTTTTTATTTATTGATATAATTGAATTCTTACAAAGAATTTAAAAAGAATTTAATTTTCCCTTGAATTCAATTTAAAAGTGAATTTAAAATAAACTTAATTCCGCAGTGAAAATTTTATTATTTTTCAAAATAATTAAAATATTCTTGAATTGGGCTCGGTAAAACTAGCAACCCGCCGGCCGCCAGCCATCAGAAGAATCCATAGGCGCCGACACACATAGTAGCGCGGTGGCCCTACACGGTTCAATCAATGCAAAATAACGTACGCTAGCTATTACAGTTTATAGAAAAAAATTGCAAAAGTCACATTTTAAAGAGCAATAATCCCCTTTAATTTGTGACCAAGAAATAAAAAGGAAGTTAAAGAGGGATTATTGCTCCTTGAAACGTGACAATTAAAAGTTTTTTAAATAAATTTTTGATAGC